AAGAACCTCATATGAAAATAGAATTGCCGCCATCAGAAGCTTCATGCTTCTTTTATCCTCATAATGAGGAATACTTACAGCATTAAGCATTCAGTTCAAATTAAAGCTTTTTAGCCCTAAATTTCCAATGTATCAAAAAGGCCTTGACCATAAAAGAGTTCCAGTTAGAGCTCCTTTCTGACTATATTCAAGAAACATAACATTAATGACATTAAAAGAGATAGAAACAGAAGAATTAATGAAAAAAAAAAAAAAGAAGCAAATTGCATACAAGTACATATACACATCCCAGATTATGTACTGACCAATTTAATCAAACGATTGCGGTATTCTCCAGCCATTGTAAGCTGCAAATTATGAAAAAAAAAAAAAAAAAAAGCTCATAAGTTACAATTAAACATATCAGGTACTACACTCCAGATATAGAAATTGGCTGTTTATAAAAAAGTCAATATAATGCAGGTAATAAGCAAACCACCAAAAACACCATTGCAACTGGAAAGTGAGCCACACAACCATAATAAGCACATTCTATGGATGATAAAAATGCCGTAAAAAACTAGCTAAAAGTTTAGCTACATAAGAAATAGAAGTACAAAGAAGAATAAACAACCTCACTGGAAGGAATAACAAAACCCTGAGCTCTCTCTCCCTCTCCTTATCCCTCCATCTCTTACTTCCAACACATAAGAATAAACAACTGCATTGCAACATTGGAACAATCCAGAACTCTATCTCACACTCCCTATGCCTCCTTCCACCACTCTCTCTCTCTCTCTCTCTATTAAATATGATATTTCAAAGAAGAATTTGAATTTAGAATTCCACAAAAGCAGTGTACTTAGAAATAGAAGTCTTTTCCTAGAAAAAGTAGACTCTTTAAAATCAATTCTCATATCATAATAGAAATTTCAACCCAACAAAAAAGATAGTTTAACTATCATAAAAAGAAATTTCAAACCAATAAATAGTATCTATTTCTCCATGTCAATAGAAGACAGCACTAATATCTCTCTCTCATCCCACCTGCACTCTCACAAATTTCATACTTAGCTGAGGAACAAGGAAAACAATAAGGAATCCCATACAAAGGTGTTGTATCACTTCTATTTAACACCTTCCTGAAAAAAGATTAATAATCAAACACTGAAAATTAGCTGAAAGTCCAAGTTTTCAATTCCATTTCGAATATTCTTAATCTTCACACCATTGCATTCCTAAAAAAGGAGTTAGCAAAAAGCAGACCACTTCTATAGAGAAATGAACTAAAAAGAAAATATGTTCTGTTAAGTTAATCTATTTTAGAGGTAAATAAAATAGAGGAAGATCACATGGAACCCTCATGAATCGCTTTCTCTTGTACTTTCACTTATATTCTAAGAATTTTCAATCAGGATAAAAGTTGGACCACTAGGATGATATAGAACACATACCACTTACGCAAAAATGTAATAGCAGCAAAACCATACAACAGAGTAAGGAAAAGCATTGTTGTGCCATATAAAACCTTACCACAAAAACTAGCAAAGAGCATAAATACAGGAAACAACAAAACCACCGCTTTTCCCTTTGTGGGGTCTGCTACATGAACCATACTAATACCATTGTTCACCATCCAGGACCATTTTTTGGGTAAACATAGCGTTCACCCTTGCTTTATTTGGCCTTACCCTTGACAAAACCAAGCTATTCACCCAAACTTTTGAGTTACAGTATAACTGAACCACCATTCTAAATATGCTTAGAAACCATATTCAAAGGGCTTCAATAATGTAACAAGCTGAATAAGAAAAACTCCTTAGTTCCTTTTCTAAACTAAAACCTAAGCAAGCCTCCTGCTTCAATTTTTTTTCCTATTTCCACCTACTTACTAAATAAGCTTCAATACAGGCTCCAGAAAAAATAATAATAATAACGAAAATTTACTAAAAAGAAAAAACTCACGTCTTGAGCCATTTGCGTGACGATATCAGCAAAGCATGAGCCCAACTCATCCTCTGACACTCTCTCAGTAAAATCCACTGCCTCCAACACTGCTTTGCACTTCTGAATCGGCAATTCCCCGCGCACCTAATAATCAAACGGCAACAAAAAATTTTCAACTAAAAGAATAAACGAAAGAAAATAATTTTCAAAAACCCAAAAAAGAAATCAAATTTAAACAAAAATACCATAGTCCAGCAGAGCTCGTAGAGAAAGCGAAGCATGGGAACGGAAGAAGAGAAGGAGAAGTTTGAGTTTCCATTTTTGCCCTCGCGAAGGATTTCCTCTGTTATGTATATACACTCTATAGGAGGAAGAGACATTTTGTTTCCTTCCTTTTCGTTTTTCTCAAAAAAAAAAAAAATCAGAAAGACAAAAGAGAATCTGCAAATCCTAGAGATTAAAAAAAAGGGTTGGGGTTTGAGTTTAGAGAGAAAGAGGAGGTACAGCGGAGTCGCTGGGTTGTAATGAAAGGGACTTTCATGAGGTATATGAGAAAAGAGAATGATGAGAAAAAGAGGGTTAGGGTTTCAGATGATGATCTGCTATGGTGAGTTAAGGGGTTTGGAAATTGGATTTCCGGGATGATATCGATTCGTCCGTTTTAGGGTTTCGGATTTTTGGGCCAAATCACTATAGCCCCGATCCGCTTCCTACTTATACCATATCATGCTACTGCTTCATCTATTTATACTACTTTAAAGCAGTTAATTTCATTTCATGCGATTTAATCAACCAACTTCAAATTATAATCAATTAAATTTTAAAAAAATCTTAAAAGATAATAAGAATTTTTATATTTATTAATTACATAATATGATAAATTTTAATCTATTTTATTGATATTATATAAAATTTTATCTTATTTAATAAAAAATTAACAATATTAATTTTGTCATTTAATTAAAATTTTAATTGAATGTAAATAGATATTAGCGAGATTATTTAACTGTAAACAAAATAATTTTTTTTAATTATAATTCATGAACTTTCTTTACTTTAACCTATTTTTTATTTGTTAAAAGTTATTTTATAATAGATATTTAATAACAATGTACAAAATTGTTATTAAGAGCAAATAATATATATTTACCCAAATAGTATTTTGTAACTTTGAATGAAAATTTTGCAAAAAAAATAAAATAAAATAGTAAATAATGTCAACAAATCATTTAGTTCAAACTTTTGATATAAAAACTAAAAATAATTTTTAATTTTAATGATTCCAAGCTAACAATTTATATTTTTACATAGTACATAAATATAAACAAATCAAACTAAAATAGAACTTTTAAATATATAGAAAGCATAATCTGTATAAAAAGTTTAAATAATTGCATGAAAAGAACATTTATTGATAGGATCAATTTATTTTTATTCATAAATATTTATTTTTATTCAATAGAGTGACAATGGTTTCAATTAGATAGGATTTGATTCAATTTTTTGAATAATATATAAAATTATAATTTTTTAATTTTAAATTTGAATCGAATTTATATTAGATTCGATTTAAATTTTATTAGTTTGGTTTGATTCATTGATTTTTAAATTTAATTTTTGTATATATTATTTTATTATGATTTTTAATATATTTAAATAGATTTAAATATAAAATAATTATTTTTATTTTATAAAATTTTAAAATATATAAAAGTAAATAAAAATATATAATTTGATTTAATTTAATTTTTTTTATTTTACAATTTTTTATCCGAATTTTATATATACATTTAATATATAAATTTATTTTAAATCAAATAAAAATTTTGAATTAAACATTACAGTTTCGAATTGCATTTCATTTTTTTTTTTTTCTTACCTTTATTACTCAAATCTAAATAAAAAAATATTAAATTTAAATTGACACTAAACATTAAATGCATTCATCCAATCCAACGGTCACGTGACTCTTAATAGAATATTAAACTTTTAATTTTAATAATTAAGATTCAATATTTTTAAAGTATGAAAAAATGCATTTATTTATAATTACTTGGATTCATAAATACTATAAATTAAAGAATAACCAAATTTATGAATAATTAGATTTATGTAATTTAAAATAAAATATAATATAAAAAACTATTCAATATTCATGTCTGCCTGTGATAGTAAATGAACCCCTGACTATAATAATTTTAATATAATGTATAAAAAAATAATAAAATTTGAAGATAGTTTTAAATTAAAATTAAAAACATTTTTGTAGCTATCCAATTTAAAATATTATTAAAGTGTAACCACCCAGTTTATAATTTTATCTTATTAGCAAATGACATCACCCCAATAAATTTTTTTAATTTTTAAAATTTTACTATCTACTGATATTTCCAAATGTAATATGTAAAATTAGATTCAAATTAATTAAATTAAATTTAAGTCTATATACAATTTACATTGCAATACATAAGCTAATTTGAATGTTTATATTATTAAATCTACTATTATTATATTATACATATAAAGTATAAATTTAAATTTGTAAATAAAAAATTAAATTTATAATCTTTGATACAAATTTAACAATTTTTAATATAATTTTAATAATCTTTAATATAATTGTAAAACCTTTTATATATTTATGATAACATTTGCTATATTTCTAATAATCTCTTATATATTTTTATAACTTTTAATATAATTTTGATAATATTTTTTATATTTTTTATAACATTTATATAATTTTGAAATATATTTTTTATAATCTTCGGTAGCATTTTGATAACTTTTCTTTTTTTTTTTTTGTAATCTCAATATAACTTTGGTAACATTTCATATAATTTGAAAAATCTTCAATATAATTTTAATAAAAATTGATACAATTTTGGTAATTTGTATTATAATTTGGGTAATTTTTTATACAATACCTTTAATAAAATTTGATAACCTTTGATATATTTTTATAATTTTTTATATAATTTTGATAAATTTTAACACATTTTTTTATAATCTTCGACGTAATTTCTTAATTTTTATAGAAGTTTGATAATTTTTTAACTTAAATGACTGTAAAATCAAAATATGTATTAATGCTCAAGAAAAAGGCCGAGTCATTTGTGCCAACTGCCATATCACTCCTGTGGCGGCTCTCTTTACATATATGCCTAAAGAGTTATGATGTAAGACTCAAAAATTTAAGGGCTGACAGTCTGAAAATTTCTATTCTAATCCACCATTATTATTCCTGGGGCAGGTTTTAAGAGCTAGGCCCTGAATTGACCAGACTGGTTTGACATTTAGAACCTGTTTTTTTTTTTTTGTTAGCAAAGAAATGCAAATCTTTCTTGCTACCAAACTCTACATGGTAATGGAATTTTAATGAAACTGTATAATTTTTTGTTTTGTACATTGGACTGTAATTTGTAATTTGTAACCAAAATTTCCCTACTCAATCTTTTACATGGTTTGCTATTACAATCAAAAAGGCCTTTTCAGATCCTTGAAATTATCCATGGGATCAACACATTCTATTTTGTTCCTGTGAAGATTCAACAGTTTCAACAACTCTGAGACATTCTCCTTTGTCTTGTCAACACAGCCAAGCTGCAAAAGCAGCAACAGCTTTTGAAAAGCACCCACTTGAAGAGCTTCAACAAGGACGCCACCATCTTCCCTTCTCTCATTCTTGCAAAGCTTCCACAAAATGGAGACTGAAAAATCAGTTGCCAAGTTTGACACTCTAAGGATTTTCTTAACCAAAACCGGCATGCTCAAGGCATTGTTGTAGGCCATTTCTCTCCCTTCTTCGCTGTTGCAAATTCCATCTAGAACACCTAAGGCCTTCTCGCTCATTCCTCTTTCAGTTTCCACCAGCGTTTCTAGTAACAATGATACTAGGCCTAAATTTACAAGTTTTGCTACTTGTTTCTCATTTGTTGAAGGTGATGTGATGATATGGTAAATGACAGTTAAAGAAGCTTTTGTAGATGTTGGGCAAATTGGGTCCTTAATTAGCTTAAACAATGCTTCAATGGCACCTTCCATCTCTGATAACTCATTCACTTTTCTTTGATCTGATGACGAAACAAGCTCCCTTAAGGCCAAAACTGCGTTTCTTCTCCCGGATAAGTCTCCACTGCTTAAAAACCATATCAAGCAATGCATAGCTGAAGATGATCCTAAGAAACCCTTGGCCTCTTCATCAAAAGGAAACATTATTGTCAAAGCTGACAATATCTCCTCTAAAACCTCAACATTTTCATCGAAAGGCGCCCTGGAAAATGCTTCCAAAGCTTCTGATAAAACGCTACCTGCCCCATTAGTCACAATGCATCGCTTGTTACGTTCACTCTCTTTTGCCAATGACTTGATCTTCACAACCAAATCTCGACACCCCTCTCCATCCTGTTTCTTACAAGTGGCATTAATTTTCGAAAGAATCTCCAAAACATCCATCGAGCTAACAGGAACTCGAGGCGTGGGGATTCTCTCAACCCCATAAGACTGGTTCTCAACGCACCAATCTTGTATCCTCTTCCTGATCATGTGGTTTGGGATCAGTTCAAAACTCCTCAGAACCTGATTTGTAATAGGACAAGTGAAATTCCCTGCCTCAATCCACTTCTCAATGTTCTCTCGATCATAAGTTATCCCTGTAGACAACGTGACAGGGTCTTTCATCAAGTCCAGCGATATGGGGCACCTGAAATCTCTTGGTATTGTCAGCTCCATCTCCCCATTTTCATTCCTTTTCTGCTCTAATTTCCCTGCACGCCTGGCAGCTCTTCTCCTTTTCCAGGACGAAATCATCATTGAATAACAAGATAATAAACAGAATCAATAAAAAAAAAAATTGAAATAAACTTTTGTCCTTTGGGTTCAATGAAAGAATGTTGGTGTTTTGCTTGGTGAATGAATTAGAAGGGAATTTGGGTGACCGATTAGCTTTTGCATATTCATATAATGTTCTATATATACACATATATATATATGACATGGTTGTTCAACATTTAAGACATTAGGAAAATTATTAAATTTAAAAGAAGCACGAGAAGAGGGCCGTGATGAAGCTTTGAATATTTGACCGTTGAATTCATAATCCAATTTGAAATGGTAAAAGGGGGCAGTAGTTTCGAGACGAATAATGGGAAAGGCTTTTAGAATGAATCAAAGCTTTGACGCAACCCAAAAAAAAAAAAAAATGGCACCGGTCAATCTTAAGAGTCGTTGCACCGACCGACTCTAGCGGTCGGTCTAGCCACGTGGATGAGGATTAAGGAGCTTCGATTTTTTTCTTTTTTTTAGTTTATTTGGTTTTGCGTTTTCACATTTTCATTTGCTTAAACGTGTCCCCAAACGCGGAAGCAAATTTTCTTTTGCCGCAAAAATTGGCAACGTTTACAGATATGGTGATTGATAAAGGTCCAACTGTTTACGCGTATAGGGAAGTTTGAGATATGGCGTTTAGGAGACGAAGGGGAAGAAATTGTACCACTGTCAACCCGTTGCTTAGTGGCGGACATCTAGCGTTTCCTAAAAGCCACCATTTGATTAATTTTTTTGTACGATCCAGGTCTGGTAAGTTTTTTTAAAATTATCATTTTATTATTGAAAATTCAACGAAATTTATATGATCATTTTTATAAAGTGATGTTTAATAAATTTAAAATTTATCATTTATCATAATTTTTATATTTTTATGCTGTAATTTTTTTAATAAAAATAAATTCATGGCTAATTTTGTCATAAAAATCTTAAAATATTTTTGCGTATGCAATTTGGTTGGGATTAGAAAGCCCATTTTACGGTAAAATGGGCGGGAGAGACCAGCTGGTGCCAGAACGACTTTGACTAACTAATACCGGTGTCGTTGCGAAAGAAATAATATAAAGAAACAAGTGAATATATTGATTAATTGAGAAGACAATGTAAAGGCAAGAAAAACATACGAAAGTTGCGGTGGAATTCAACAATTTTCTTTTCTTTCTGTTAGGAAAGAACAAGATTGAACAAATTAGGCATACTCGTGCCAAATACATAAAATTTAAAGGTGGGAAAAAAGGTTAGTAGAACATGGAAGGAGACCAGCTGACCAAGTCCCTATTATATTTTGTTCAACAGTCTAAAATGGGATGACCAAATTTTATAACGAAGCATTGCCATCTAATATAAGCTTGATAACCAACAAGTCATCCCAATTCCAGGGAACTTAATTATTGTGATTCCTTCCCAATGCATTTCTACCATTTTTGCTGGCGACAAACATGCATGCCCGTTGTCCTGTAATTGTTGTAGAATAACAATGAATGGAATGAGTTTAGCTGAGTTGATGAAAAATCATGTACTTTTCTTGAAAGATTTAAATTTGATATATGTTGCCGATAATATAAAACCTGATTATATGGTATGATAAAATAAATGGTCTAAATTAAATAGACAAAGTCAATGAATCAAAAATCAAAAGGAAGTCTTCAATTTTTTTGTTTAATCATAAAGAAAGCTTTAGAAAGACACAAAATTAAGATTCGACTTTAGCTTTTTCTCTCCTCTCCCTTAGGGCTCTACCTCTCTAAAAAAAAAAAAAAAAGATTAAAGGGAAAAGTTTATGATAGTGCTTTAGCAAACAGTGGTAAGAAAAACAGGAGCTATATATATATTTTCTCGGAATCGGCGCCGAAAGGGAAAAAGGGAAGAAGAATGTTACAAGAACTGGAGAAACCGGCATTGTGAAACTAGAAAAAGAAGGTGAACCCAACACGAAGACAAATACGACGGAGACAATGTAACTGAAAGTCTGAAACTCATCAAATCAAGTATCAGTTAGGCTAGTGTTACACAAATTTTAAGCAAATAATAGTGACAGTGGTTTTTTTTTTTTGGTAAAATAATGATAATTAAACCAGTATGTATGATCAAATTTTTTAAAAAAATATGTTATAATTTAAATATAAAAAAATTATAAATATTAAAATCTTGACTTATTAAATATTATTTTTTTAAAGTGATTATAAAAAAAACGTTTGCAATTGCTAAACTTGATAATAGTGTTTTTGGATACACTTGATTCATCTTTAAGGTACATTCACAAGCATCTTTCAATACTGGAATAAAGTAAAATGAAACCTAATCGAAACCTCTGATGATTATACAGTGTTGTTTTTCTTTTTTCATCTTCCAATTTCAGCAGGTAGATTGTGCTTATATTTGATAGCAGAGAACAAGGTGAGTCACATCAATTTTGTTGATGGTGAATCAAATTTGCACTTCTGTTTTTGTTAGGTTCACACAGTTAGTAATGTTAGAATTAAATAAAAGAGTTTTGGGCTTCATGATCCATCTGGGATGGGATCACTACTATGGGAAAAGGACTGTTATAAAATAAGGCCTTTTGATCCAAACGCAACAATTTTGGGTCAGTAACCATCAAAATTAGGTCTCCTTTTTTCTTTATTCTTTTTTAACATTGGAAAAGAGAAAGGCCTGGGCTTATTCCGAGTTCCGCAAAAGATTGCCGTTGTATATTCTCCATTTGGTTGCTTGGATTCGAAGTTGGGATGCTGTAGAAAAGATCAATTTTTTAATAAAATTTTTAGTAGAGTGATAGTTTTACAGATTTATTAATGTAGGTTTTGCTTTACAAAACTATCAAATGCAAGAAAGAAAGAAGGTTTGACAGTTTAAAACTAAATTTGCAATTAAATATGATAATTTAAAATATAATACGATAAAATGATATAAATATAATACAAAAATAAAATATAAAATTAATATAATTTAAAATTTTAATAATTATTACATATAAGTTTAATAAAATTAAAATATATATTTTATTTTATGTTAATATGAATTATGATACATAATTTTCATATAAAATATGATATTAATATATAAATTTTGATATTTTATAAAATATTAATACACAAATCATCAATTTTATTTACAAACATATAGGATTAGCTGAAAAGCATTAAAAATTACGTGTTTGACTCTTAGTAATGAGATCATTTCGAAGTTCAAACACCTCTCCCACCCTCTCTCTATCTCTCTTACCCTCACATTGTATAATTTTTGAAAATACTGCTTCCATTAATTCAGCAAACATGCAATTACAAGTCAATCTATAAACCCTTTTGGACGTTGCAACAGTTGTTTCCCATATTTGAAAAGTTGGACGTAAATTTTGACGACCAAGTCTCAGCTGTGAAAACTTCATGACAACCATATTCCCACAGTTCATTACAGTTCACTGATTATTTTTTGTCTATAATTCAGTCAAACAACGCAGGAAATTTCTGCCAAGGAGTGTAAATTGGGGTTTGTGTTAGCTAGAAATTGAATCGGAGCATATGAGTAATCCAAGGAAGAAATCTCCTCGTCTTTGATTCTTTTGATGGGGATATGGTTCCAAGTAACCAACAGGGAAAAGGTAAGGGAAAAAAAAAATTCCAAGTAATTTCCGTGTTACTTTGAATTATCAACTCTTCAATAAGTTTGGGATTTTAATTAATAATCCAAGGAAAAATTGACCCAATTTGAAGAATCCTTGGATAGAGATTGAAGTATAAACATGAACACAAGTAAGCCAAATGGGGACAATAAAACTCAGATTTAGACCAAACACAACGATCACATGGGCTATCTTAATAACATTTTGAACACTCTTTTAATCTAACCTCCTTCACACGTTATCTTGGAAGTTGGAACCCCACACCATAATACCATGCACAAAAATCACCTATAATTGGATAAAGCTTGAACCACCCTCCCCCTAGAGCATATATTGGGCATCAACTACCTTTTGCCTTTACCATGCCATGTCCCAAACTCAACTCATTTCATCTTTGTGGTTAAAGTGATTAATTAGTGGATTGATATCATAGATTAAGAAGTGAAATAGCATCAAATAGGTAGGCTTTTATGCTTTTTCATACATATTAAGCCATTTAAAGTATAAGAAAGAAATTAAAAAACCCAACAAATCAAAATACCCTTTTTGTTGGTTATCTTAGAGTTAAAAGGGTTGCGAAATGTAAAAAATTTTAATAGGAATTTCATGTTGAGTTGTATAAGTCATACACTTTTTTACTTGTTACCAATAATTGATTCACTTAAAATAAAAATACTTATTTTGGTTTCAGTTATCTTAGATTTAAATCTTATAAATTATTTTGATATTATCCAAGAAAAAAGTAATTTTTAGCATAATCGTAAATATCTAAAAGAATTTGCTTAATTCGTAAATAGAGAAGTTTAATTTTTTTTACTAACCAAAGTTTGATTTTTATAAAAAATATTTTGAAAATAAAATTTTGAATATATTATACGTGAAAATGCATATTTAAAATCGTTTAGGATTGGCCAAAAACAAAACAAAAGATGTGACTCTTGAGGGATTAAAATATGTGATATTGAGTAATGAAGTCAGCATCATTAGTACAAATAATGGCCACAAAATCCGCTAATGATAGAAATGATGCTGATGATTGGCTTTGTGAATATAAGATTCAGATATTGAGGGATGCCCCCCACGTCAGTAATCTCTGTCTGGAAGTGGAAAATATTGTAGGCAACAAATACAGCTGGCGTGCATTACATCTAAACATGCAACCACTACGTGCCTGACACGTGGCATGTATTGAGAAATCAGACAAGACAAACAATATAGATTTATCAGACATTCGTTGGTAAGGATTAGCTGTTTGCCTGTTCCGAGGGAGTGTCTCAATCTGCTCACATCATTCTTTCACCTAAAACCTGTGAACAGAGGGAATATATGTCTTCACCGTGAATGGTGACCAGACCCTTAAAAAAACCTCATTATTTTAGCATTGGATTAGATTAATGAAAGTTGGCTAACTTATATTCAGATAAATCATCACAATGGGGGGCCCTTCTCTCTTGCGGCCAATGCAAAAAAGATTGCTGTCCAAATGGCTTAATAAAAAGAGTGGGGCTTCGTATAAAAAGTTGATTATAAAGCCGC